CCTCATATCTCCCGAGGTGCCAAACAATTGCTGAAGGATACGTTCGGTGAAAATCGTGTGATAGGTCGCCACTTCATATACCAGTGGCCTCCAAGATCAACAGACTTGACGCCTTACAATTTCGGTTATGGGGGTACATTAAGTCGCGTTTTTATCGATGCCGGCCTACCACATTGGCCATGTTGAAGGCTTCTATCAGATGGCACGTTTTATAAATTTCAACTATTTAATTGTGACCATTCTGTCATTTATCGTCTGCAGGCGGTGATTGAGAATGAAGGGTGCCACATTGAGCAAGGATTGTGACCTAATACAAGAGAGAAGGCAGTTACCTCATGTGTTGTATAAGCCGCCATGTATTATATTATCTATCAATATTTTGCAGCTCTTTGTGTTGGGATATGGGGATAATAAATGCTGTCCTCACATCTTGACTCTTTTTTTTTGTGAACAGTAATATTTTGTTTGTCATTTGCTCACATATTATGTCGTGCAAACCAGAGTGTTAGAACTTCTCGAATAACACTGGTACACACAATTTTACCCCTTATGTTTAGTTTTTCGCTTTTCGCTCATTAGAAGAAATACATAGATAATAGATAACATAGAAATACATACATAAGAAATACATTTAGCATAAGGAATATTTTCTGTACACCAATAACTTTAGAAATTTTGTGAAAAAAAAAATAATACAAAATGATTTTACTACCACGTTTTTCAACGCAAAAGGTCGATTTAAAATTTATTTTTATTTGAGGGGACACATTTTTAAAATTGTGTACAGTATAATAAACAATGATAACATTTGACAAGCCCATAGGATATTTTGAATAAAGTACGACAAATATATTTTGTCACTCCCCTCTATATTTCATTTGTTGGATCATGACATATATCCAGTTAAATAGTCAAGGGTCGCCAATCAGTCAAGAAACTACACATTTCTTATAGCAAGAAATCCTATTAATAGTGCCATCATAATTTTTGGTACTATATTAACATTTCAAAAATTCGTGTATTGATATCAGCAGTGTTTTTCAAACATTCAATCTATTTCACAAAACCTCATATAAAAATAAATATTTTGCTACATGTTTTAATTTGCATTTACCTATTTTACATATCTCTAATTGTATTTGAAAATCGTTAACCAATTCTTCATACTTTTGGCGAAGTGGTGTTTTATTAATTTGTTATTTGATATTATTAGGGTTCTTTCCTGGTATTCAAAAAGAAAAAATACGTGTCGATCAGTTATATTTTTCAATTTATCAAACAATTTGGCCGCTGAATCTTTGATTCGGGTAGAGCGCCATCTGGCGAATAAAATTGTAACTAAAATCAATTTCGAATTTTTCATTATTTGCCATAAAAAATCCCATTGCATCCTGAATACAATGGTGTTTACCGCATTGCTCTAGCGCAAATATTCGCGGAGTTATTAATTTTTAAAATAGTGCGGGACTTTTGGATCACCCTGTAAATAAACGCGCAGAAACTGATCAAGTTATTATTAATCGCATATACTTTTACCTATTGCTCAATTTATATTAGCTACTGCATAATGCTACTCCCCCTCCTTTTTTTTCACTTACATACATTTGCAAATAATTCATTATTCATTAAAATAATTTTTAATTATATAAATGGTATGATTTCATCTTTCACGATCAAATTAATATTTTTAATACTTTGGGTCATTTTAACAAATGTTTCATTAGATGAAGATCCTTGCGGATCATCGGGATATTATCATGCGCTAAAGACATAACAGTGCTGAAGTCCCCTGCGCATCCTAAACAGGGGAGTGATATATTTCTATTAACTTTGATAGTCGCAATGGCCTTGGTGTACAGCAGCTGGAACTATTCCATAAAGGGCGAGGCAAGCCACTGGTAAACAGCTGGGAGGTGAAGAACTCTCAGTCCACTGTGGTTAAAGGCGGACCTATGGTCGATGGAGATGACTGTCAGCGAGATTTTTGAAAAATTAGGGCCGCCTCATTAGACGCTCACACAATATTTCAGAAAAGACATTTCCCCTGAACAACATATGTCTGACAATCTGGCACAATAACGACGCAGATGACCAAGAAGAACGAGTTTCTTTTCTACCGGGCTAATTGGCCTTTTAGTAGCAAGGTCGTCTAGCCCCCATCATGGCTGCAGAACGCGAACTGGTGGCAAGGGATCCTAAGATCTGGCAGTAGAGAGGCCTTCGCAGGGGTGGAGGGAGCTTGGAGATTGCAGGGAAACAGCGCCTTGAAGCAGTGAGAAGCAGGAGTCTTGGCAGGGGATGGAGTCCAGTAGATGAGGCAGGCGAAGGTGGAGGCAGGAGGTCCTGGAAGCCTAGAACTTGAGGGCCCTAGACTTCAGAATGGGACAGCTTGAGGCTCTCGCCTCATGCTTGTCAGGCAGGCCCTTGGCGCAGCAGTTGGCACATTTGGAGGTGCGCTGGTTGGCAAGGGATGGACAGGCATGGCCCTCATGACCTTCTTCACCGCAGTGGAAACACTTTGGGGCCCTGGAGCATTGTGCGGAGTTGTGGCTGAAGCCACAGCAGCGGAAGCAGACGCGGGCGCGGATGGACTCCTCGAAGTTGAGGATAACTCCATCCACCACGATCCTTCCGCGCACACCCAGGGCTCTGAAGGTCTTCAGGTCCAACTCGATGAAGGCGGTGCAGGTCCCGTTTCTGGTCGCAGAACGGTGCGCCACGCGCACCACCTTGTCCCCAGGGAGTTGGCTGACAGCAGGGGTTGCCAGGAAGGTCTCTTCTATGGTGGAGTTGAATGTTTCCTGGTCCACTTGGAAGAGACAGATGCGAGGGAGAATCTCCTTCTGCTGGCGGACCTTCATACCATCCAGCTTGTTGGTCAGGGAGGTTGTCACTGCGGGGATGGTGTCTGGGTTACTTGAATGCAGGACCAGTTTCTCCTTGGTGCGCAGGGAAGTCCAGACGCCTTGGGGGAGAGTGTGGGCAGCGCGGACTGCTTTAAGCATTTCCCTTGGGTCAGCCTGCGGGTTATCTGAAATAACCACTGTGTGGACCGCCGATTTTTCTCCATGGAGGGTCATTCGGGCGGCCGCAGGCTTGGAGGCGTGGGAAGGCGCTGGCTTGGAGGCGTGGGAAGGCGCTGGCTTGGAAGAACCTTGCGTATTGGTCCTCTTTGCAGGCGGGTTGGGTGCTTCAGGCTGCTTCCTCTTTGTTGGAGCAGGAGCAGGCAACTTGGGGGCAGGTGCTTTCGCAGGGATAGCAGCTGGAGCAAGGGTGGCGGGCTTGACTGGGTCAGTCTGGGAGCAGGAGTCCTTGCAGGAAGGAACTGGGCTGGTTTGGGTGCTACAGCAGGTAGTCTGAGGCTTGTTTTCTTCCATGACGTCGTCCAGCTCCTCGAAGGCCTCGAAGGTGCCAGTAAGGTTCTCCACCTCAGCAAGAAGGGTCTTGATAAGCTCCTTTCGCATTGCGATGAAGCGGATCATGTCCTCGTGCAGGGACTTGAGGGAGGGATGGCCGATGGAGCGCAGGATCTGGTGACTGCGGGAGATGACCATTTCATGTTCCTTCTCCAGCGCTGCGACTTCCACGATGGGCTTGTAGGTATTCTTCCTTTTCTTTTAGCGGGATCCATGGCGAGAGCAGGGAGGCAGAGATGTAACCAGGTAGAGAGCTAGCTGGCAACCGCGAGACCAAGAAGAAGCGGGCGATTCTTTAGTCCACGAGAAAGATATGGACAATCTTTTCCCTCGAATTTACAGACAGAGCTCCACATAATAAATATAAAATTATATATATATTATTTGTTAAAATGGTACTGAAAAGGTATGATAAATGCTGTTATATTGGATGCAAAAAGTTATTAAATTGTAAACCTTTTCTCAACTATGCAAGCTAATTTAGGAAATTTATATTTTGAGAACGTTATTTTATTTATTAAAAAAATCTTTTGTTTTAAATTTATTTTAAATATATTTTAAACATTTATAATTGTTAAAAATACTGCAATATTGTTAAAAAAAAAAAAAAAGAATAATAATCTGTATATTCTTGAGGTGTTTATATTTAGAATCATCATATTATGAAAATATTTTTAGGGCTTATTTTCTTGTTTACCATTTTAAAAGTCTATTTTTCCATTTGAAAATTTTAAAAATTAGCTTTATATATATTTTTAAAGCCTAATAAAACAATAAGTAGGTCAAGAGCTTAATATTTTCACTCGCTTATATATATTAAGTTCATGTGCCATTTTGACATGCTATAAAATCATTATTTTGTCGATAAAATTACATTTATTAAGTCCCAATTATTATTAAAATTAGAACAGATATGAAATCACACGCAAACAATAACCATTATACAAAGATTTGCTTTTAAAACGACCCGAATTTTTACTTGACAATCATGCTATGTAAACGTGTGTACGAATTCGTATAAAAGTTAAATATTCTCTATAAATAGAGATTAAACATAGATCTTGCAGCAGTTTACATTTTATATATTCAAGAGTGACTACCATAAAGAAGTTTTACAAGTACAATGAATATTGGCACATACTTATAACATTATTATAGTTAAAAATGCACCTTTAACCATTAACCATAACGTTTAAGTTACATGAGCTTTCACTGGTTACATGGGTGATAGCTGTCATTTACATTTTTATTAATTTGTTGAATGTATTAAAATATAAATTGAATTTTAAACACTTCCTTGAATATTAAAATGAACAATATAAATACCTATTCTTAATTATGTAAATTCATTTTCTTATTTACCAATTTAAAAAACAGTATTTTAAATTACATAAAACTATATACCAAATGTTTTTAATTTAGTTTATTAAAAAAATTATTGAATTTATGACCAAAAGACTTATCATTTGTTTTGTATTAAATGATTTCAAAAAGCTGATATGACAGCTGCCAAACAATCAGCATCTGTAACACAGGCATAAAATATTGAACATTAGCCCATTTAACAAAATGGTTTAAAAAAAAGGGTTTGTTTGGGATTTGAACCCAGGACCTCTCACATCCAAAGCGAGAATCATACCCCTAAACCAACAAACCACAATACAGGCGTACAGTCTAACCAAAATTTTTTCTTGTTCTGTTGCCTGCAAGGGATTCTTCAGTGTGCTGATTCCAATATGCAAATCTTTTCTTTCTATCAGTTACTGTTTTCAAGGTGTAGTTATCCCATCAAAAATCCTTTTGGCTATGTTTCTATTACAAAGGTACAGAGTTCAACTCTATAAGAAATTGTAATTATTTTTGATACAAAGATAGATATAGATTGGCCCAGTCACTTTGCCAGCTAAACACTTCTTTGGCAGATTGTCAAGATTCCATTAGATCCTGTGTGGATCTCATGGAATAAAGTCCGCCCTAGACTGACGAGTGCCATTAACCCGAAACCATGGTCTCTAGATGGATGCTTTTCAGTTTGCCAAAGCTTTGTCACCGACACGAGGCCGCTAGTTTGCGGCAACAGTCAATAGATGGTGTCTGGTTTTGATGTCTATTTTGACGGGAGAGGCGACCTTTGTCTCTTTAGATCAATATCCTCCCGGAAAACATCTATTTTTGATACGTATGATTCTTTTTTAAAATAAAATAATTATCTACAATCTTACAACAATGATAAATTAATGAGAGGGCCTGGCTCATCAGTGGTGAACCCTTCCAGCGGTTTCACCAGTTTAATCTACCATACCATCATGATGGTTGTCAAACACCATCAAAAGTCTCAAGCTTGATACCCTAATATTATTATGTGGAGATAAGAAAGAAGAAGAATCTTCCATACCTCTGTAATATTGCATTGGACTGTTTTGGTTTTATACTGAATCTGACCTCTTGGAAAAAGGTATGAACTATGGACATAAGCTAGACTTAACTCTAGTTTGAAAATCAACCAGAATGGTGAAGATGCTTTGGTTTCAGCAGAGATATGCCAATATTTTATTAATATTGAAGCAAAATTGAATATTAATGAAAAAATGATAAGGCACAATTTGGATTATAGATTATAAACACAAGGTAATAAGACCAAATCCAAATAAATAGTGTATGACGTTTAAGAGACAATTTAAAGAAGCCTTTTTCATTCAAAAGAAATGTGCTACAATTAACAGAATGGAAGAAAGAGGAAATATAAATGATATTTATAGATATGCTATTAATTATATTTAAAAAAAAAAAAGTGTTTTTTTTTTTTTTTTTCAACTTTTAATTCTAAGAACAATATTCTGTGTTTATCAGAAAACTATCTTCTTCATATCTGCTATCTTGTGTACACACTTGAAAACAGTAACTATTTAAAGCATGCTGTGGTAAAATTTCTCATTCATGGGGAAAGAAGCCCTGTCTTGGCACCAGCCTTAGGGCTGGGAAAGGGGTAGGGACGCCCACCCCTCACTCACCCTTGAGGATAGGGGAGTGGAGAGGTGACTCTGCGTGTTTGCCTTGCGTCGGAGTGCCACTGGCTGATCGCCAGTGAAGCTGTAAGCTGGCCATCGGCCCTTGGTTAGCTGGCGCGAGGTGCACGAGTCTTGAAACTCTTGGGTCTTCGCTCTGTGTGTGCGCTATTGGGAGCGTCCTTGCCGTGCGCGCCATGAAAAACCAAGGGGTGTACACAGTAGTAACACCCTCCCGTCTTCGCATTGGTTCCCTGTGTAAACCTCAGAGGTCCTTGATTCGTCGGCAGATTCAGGGAGTACTGTGAACAAAGGGTTCGAGGGCCAAAGGGGGGGGGGGGGGGGGAGTCTATTGGAGCGTAGGACGGGTTTAACTAAGTCCGAATGGGAGGGCTCGGTCAGCAACCTTGCCATGAACTCTCGGAGACGCCTGTGGGTTTGATTGGTCGACCCCATGGAGCCAGACCATAATGGCGGGCGTGAGGGGCCAAACAATGGCCGCTCGGTGCATGGAGAATGCATCATTCTCTTTTTGGCTGGGTGACCTGGATGTCAGCAATGGGTATGCTATCGCATGCTCCGGTTTATGGACTGAAAGGTCTGGGTGGCCACTGCTACAAATTTCTCATTCAGTACTTTTGTATGAAGATGGTAACAACGCTGTTACCGAAACGTCACACACCATTTATTTATTTGGATTTGGTCTTATTACCTTGGGATTAATGAAAAAAGATAACTACTCATTTTAGAAGGCTCATTATTTCTATGTTGAGTGATAAGGCACAATTTGGATTATAGATTATAAACACAAGGTAATAAGACCAAATCCAAATAAATAGTGTGTACCGTTTCTGTAACAGCGTTGTTACCATCTTCAGACAAAAGTACTGTATGAGAAATTTACCACAGCATGTTTTAAATACAGGGTGTACCAGGTAAATTGGGAATTTCAACAATGGTATTTTAACTGAAATTTTTTGCAAGTAAAAATTAAAATATCCGAATGAAATTTGACACAGTAGTAGATAAAAGGATATAGTTTTTATTTATTCAATGTAGTTTCCATTATTAGCTACAACAGTCTCGAGGCGAGTGCGGAATGAAGCACAGGCCTTGGCGACGATGACCTTGTCCATTTGGGTCATCACCGTGTGAACTGCTTTCTTGACAGACTGGATGGTGGTATGAGGAGCTTTGTTGACATCTCTCTCAACAACGCCCCATACATAGTAGTCGAGGGGATTACAATCTGGAGAATTAGGGGGCCAAATATCAGGACCCCAGTGACTAGGGACGTTAAGTGTCAGCCACGATTGTGTCTTTTTTGCCTTATGGGCTGGAGCTGAGTCCTGTTGGAAGACATACTTCCTTCCTGCGGCCACCATGTCCATCCAAGGCTTCACAACGGTCTCCAGAACATTGATGTAGGTGTCAGCGTTCATCCTAAGGCCCTTCTCAAAGAAATGGGGAGGCATGACATCACCTTCACTGCTGATAACGCCAAGGACCATTACGGAGGCAGGAAATTTCGTGTGCATCACGACAGGTATCTCTGAGGGGTCTTTACAGATCCAGCGATCATTCCTGGGATTTACCTTTTGGTCCACGTCAAAGTTCTTTTCGTCAGAGAAGAACCTTAGCATGCCAAAAGAGTCGTGTTTGAGGTTGTTGAGGAGGGCAGCAGCCTTTCCTTTTCTGTTATTCTTCATATTCTCAGTCAGCAACTGACCTTTCCGAAGGGCATAAGACTTGAGACCAAGGTCCTCATGGATAGTTCTGACAATTGTCATAGAGCCAACGTCCATTTCCTTGGCTATGGCCCTCATGCTCTTCCCAGGGTTTCCATCAATCTTCTCCTTGACATTTTTGACAAATTCTTCGCCTCTTACCCTGACCGATCGACGCGAGTGCTTTTTCTTTGTAGCTATCCCCTCTTTGTTACTGTCGGCCTCATCAAACTGCTTCTTGACACGATAAATAGTGGTTTTGGGCAACTTAAGAAAATCCACTATCTCTTTGGGGCTCCTTCCGGCGCGCAGAGCAACGATGATGGCAGCTCGATTTTCAAATTCTCGGTTACTCTTCATCACTACACTGCGCACACATGTACTGTTGCATTTTACATGAATATGGCTACGTAATGAAAAAAAAACAAGTTTTTAATCTCAAGTAGTTTTTGTTTTATGGACTGTCAAAGTTAGCCCCAATTTACCTGGTACACCCTGTATATTGTTTACACACTTGATAACAGTAACTATTTAAAACATGCTGTGGTAAAATTCCTCATTCAGTACATTTGTCTGAAGATGGTAACAACACTGTTACCAAAACGTCACACACTATTTATTTATTTGGATTTGGTTTTATTACCTTGTGTTTATATGTAGAGTATAATCAGTAGAACCTCCATGAGAGGACACTCGTGCTAGAGGACACCTCTCTACAAAAGACAGTTTTCATCTCCAAAATGACCATGTTTACTATTTAACAACTCTCCAGTAAGAGGACACCTCTCACTAAAGGAAACTTTGACTCTGCAATCAGGTGTCCTTTACAGGGAGGTTCTACTGTATCTCTAAAATGAGAGCTGATAGAGCAAAATGAACAACATTTCTCTTCTTTCTTATCTCCACTCAATCATATTAGAGTGTCAAGCTTGAGACTTTTGATGGTGTCTGTTGACAACCATCATGATTGGGTGAAGTAGAATGCGTCTGCCTTTGTCATTAAGACTGGGAGCACTGCTCAGTGGCAGGCCGACTTAGCTCTAAAATAAATGGCCAATGTGCAGCCGCTCCTAACATGGAGTACAAACGCTGTTCATCCTGTATCCCTGGATTAGGAGCCCTTACAGGGTACTATCAGCCGGGCCAGCTGAACCCAGGTTTTTTACAGAGCTTGTTACTGCTCCTCCTTTTTCATCCGGGCTTGGGACCGGCAAAGGCGGAGTTAACATTTCTGGATTCTGCTAATCAAAAACCAGGAGAAACAGATCTAAAATATCCAGTAACAAATACATGTTGGCCAGTGTAATATTACACCATGTATCCTGAAATAATAATCCACCCTCTCTCTGTGAAAACATAGGAAATATTGAACAATTTTGTTTAAAAATTCCTTATTCCCCTTTTTATGCAATAATTAAGAGAAAGGCATATTAATAAAAGTTGAAAGGTTTTTACAATAAATATTATTTTAAAAGCATTGGGCGCCTCTCCCGTCAAAATAAACGTCAAAACTAGACACACTCTTGATAAGGCACAATTTGGATTATAGATTATAAACACAAGGAATAAGACCAAATAAATAAATAGTGTGTGACGTTTCGGTAACAGCGTTGTTACTGAAATGTCACACACTATTTATTTATTTGGATTTGGTCTTATTACCTTGTGTTTAGACACACTCTATTGACTGTCGCTGCAAACTAGCGGCCTCAGGTCAGTGACAAAGTCACAACACCAGCTTTGGCAAACTGAGAAGTGTCCACCTAGAGACCATGGTTTCAGTCTAATAGCCCTCGTCGGCTTTTATCGATGAATTTCCTCCTGGAAAAATGTCCATCAATATAAATTTCATCATCATTATTATTAAATCTAGATTTTTTTTATCCCTAGTACACGTGGTACAGGCCATGATAATCATGGTGGG